GCAGGGGCTGGTTGAAGAGAAATGTTTAAAATTTGTCTTGCCGAGTCTTTAAGATGAATGGGGCACTCCTCGGCCCCTTTTAGCTACATGTTTTAAAATTGTCAGGGTTAGTGTGTTTGATATTCTTCGCGAGAGAGTCGAGGTTCTTTGTAGTGGACGACTTGGGCAGGTATCGCTCGATTCTGGCTTGAAGTGCTGTATGCCCCTTGGGGGGTTTAGGTTATGTTTTGTTATAATTTTTTGCTGGTAAGGGGGCAGGGACATATGGAATGGGCAGTTTCCTCAAATCTTTTTTCCCCCAAAAAGACAGTGGGCTTATTAGGTTGGGGTTTGATGCTTTCGGTGTAATTCTTCCTTTTTAAGAGTCGGGGTAAAATATCTGGAAGGCTTGACAATCGCCTCCCATCTGAAGAGGTTTAAAAATGTGACACCCTAAAGGAAAGGTTCCTTGAGTGGTGAGTGGTCCTGATAAAGGGGAATTGGGATCTGTAATCGGGGAATTGGTCTGTGTTCCGGTTCCCTGAATTTAAACCCGAATTCTTCCACATCATCCCCACAGGCGTCCCCCTTTATAAAATAAAAGTGATAAGCAGGACTTGTATAGTTCCTGGAAAAGGAAATTTGGGGACCCGGGCACTCCAGTATGCAGCTTTTTTCCAGGTTTTTTAATGTATTGGTCTTTCCCTTTTGACCTATTGGGCCCTTCCCCCTACCCGAGGATCCTGATTTTTTTACTAGGGACTCCAGGATTCCCTTTGGGGGTGGATCGAATCTGAAGAGCGTTTCCCGGGTCTTTATGTGAAGAGCTGTCCGGATAGCCGTTTCCTTATGGTTAGCTTACACCCCGAAAACATGGTTTTTGCGAGGGAGGAACCCCCCTCGCCTGGTGGGCTCCATTGATTAACTGAGTACACGTTTTGACAATGTTTATTTAACATGCGGACTCAAGCAATGGTTAGTGGGGGTAAATTGGTTTTTTGTGTTTCTATGGCTAGTATTTTAGGGCCTAGTCCTGCCCTAGGGTCCCGAGTGTCATCTCGCTATGGATAATCACCTCAATTAACGATCTCGAAACAACTAAGTTTATTAGTTTTGGGTATTTTCGGTGGATATGTAATTTTGGTTTAATCTCCCCATGAGTTTACCCTCACTCCATTTCCTTGGATCAATGGAAATGAATTTCATTTTTTTTTTCGTGACTTATAATTAAGTATTCCATGGATTAAAATTTGGATTACATCTTCCATAGAGTTGTATGATCACTCTCGTAAGAAATACCTAATCTTCCCTCCTTATTTTCAATACACATTAAAAACATTTTATTAAAATGCGGGATAAAATTAGTGGTATATTATTAGTGGTGTATTATTCAATTTCAGTACAGACTAAAAGGTATGAATTAACATACAACTACATAATGGTGTTATGGTGATTTCTTAAAGAGTATTTACCACACAGGTGTAGCTCCTGGAGTGCAGCAGCCAATTCTGATGTCATTATATAAGTGCTTCTTTGGTATTTTGTGTAGTCACTGCAGATTATCGTTTTACTGCCTGTATCTTGTTACATATTGATTATGTTCCCATATATTTTTGTACCTGAGCTTTAAATAAAATATAAAAAAAGCTCCTGGATTCATTTTAGAGTCGAATGATTCCGTGGTGAAGCCTGACCACTGCCATGGTATTACCTTCATATTTTGAGAGGATGAGCATATTCAAGCACTGATAGGCTTTTATTATTGTAGTAAGTATAAAAATATTACAAAGTATACAAACTTTTGACATGGAATATACATTGCACAGAAGGTATTTATGCACAAGTTCAAATGTTGGCATTTAACAATTTACAAAAAAAATCAGTAAAACGAAATGCATGTTAATTCATTTTCAAAAGTGGTAAGTCAGGCATAAAAGGTAACAATATAAAGAATTTTACAAGGTCATGCATAAAAGGTAACAATATAAAGAATTTTACAAGGTCATGCATAAAAGGTAACAATATAAAGAATTTTACAAGGTCATTACATAGTATACACCAGACATTGTGTTGCACTGGAATATCAAGATGTCTGCATCCCAGTGAACCAGCGGTGTCTAAAACATAACTTTTATCATCAAAAGCAGACAACCCTTCTTTTTAATCTTTACTTTACACATCTATCCTTTCACATTACTGATTGATTTACATTCAAACGTTTCCTTATCTGGATTAGTCAAGTTAAAGGCATGAAATGGGAAGGTATCCCTTTCGCCCAACTGATATTTTTCTTATTTACCTCTTTTACCGAATACATTTCAGTTGGGAAAATGTAAGAGTTCAGGGAATAATTTAATGCTTTATTTGAAGACAGACGTAGGACTGACCGATGTATTTATGAGGTGATGGAAAACACTTAATACTTATCAAAGAGTTGAGTAATTATATAAGTTTACAATCATTCATTTGGGACAACTTCTTCTTGAAATCTAAGTATGAACTAGATAAGATTCATTCACTTATATTGACCAGGGTGGACAACCCATTAATAAACCCACAATTTAAAGAGGGAGGCTTTGACGCTCGTTATATTTGAATTTTCTTTATGCTAGTGCGACGACTGACGCAGTTCGACAGAAAGAAATAAAGAAATTAACGAATGAAGGGAAAGATGCATTCATTGTTAAGCAATACTTCATATCAGGGTGATAAGGGGTACTGGGTATTATGTAATACCAAGCTAGCAAAACCCGATGTGTACAGGGACACAGATAACCTTTGATGCTTTCACATAAATATCAGAAGATATGTTATCTCCCCATTGTTAATCTGCGAGATCTGAAGGGTTAAAGATTTCGAAAACCAGTATTAAATTAGTCATTTGCCGCAGATTATCTGGTGAGTTTGGATTTATTGAAATTACTGTTAGATATTGGATTAGATAATGCTTGTGGGAGAGTGGGAGTAGGTCTTCATGCACTCGCCCCTTATCCATCTGCTTGTGGGTGCCCATGACCTCTCAGTAACTTGTGGCAGGCTGCAAAATGCTCCACATGTTCTAACTAGTTACCCCACAGCTTCCATCATTTTACCCTACTCTTTTTTTTTTTTTTTTTTTCTTTTTAATTTTCCGGGTACCTGTGGGATCTGGGAAATATTTTGAAGGAGGCAGATGCTGTCTATTTTTGCTCCCCATCAACACCCTGACCCTCCCCATCAACACCCTGACCCTATCCATCAACTTCTTTCCCCACTTTGCTCATTGCATCCCCAACAACACTCCCCCAACACAAAGTTTAGTCACCCTCCGTTACCCTTATTCGATCTGGCTTGCCTGCACTCCCTCTCTTTCTCCCCCTTTTCCTTTCTCTCCTCCTTCCCCCTCCCTCACAACAATTTCACCACAACCACAGCAATAAATTCCTCCACAACACTCAGCACAGCAACCACAATATGTGCTTCAAAAGCCACAACCATCACCACAGCAAATAATTACCTCAATCACCACGACAGTCACCACACCAATCACCTCACTCACATCCACCCCAATCACCACTCAACTACAATTTCCATCGCAATAACCAAAACAAACCATAAAACAATAACAATCACAACCAAAGCCACTTCTACAATACAGTAACAACCATAAAGTTTGGAGCTGGGGCTGAGATATCAGACAATACAACCAGGGAATAAACAATTCCTTTCTTCGGAAAAAGAATCCAAGCCTTTCATCACTATCTTAGGAAACCTCTCACTAGAGCTCCATAAGAAACTGCAATTGGAACCCTAAGAACACTGTCATTCCAGAGTCTATCCACTAGGTGCTTTAAGCCAGTCACAGAGCCCCAGTGTGGAGCCCACACTTCGTTAATTCCAGAATAAACAAGTCACTGAATGGGTGGAGTTCAAACCCATGGCAAGAGTCCTAAAACTCACAGTCCAGGTCTGTGCCCATGACTGGTTAATGAACTGAGAGGAGTAAGCTATAATGGTATGGTTTACCTGTCGGGACCTCGGAGTCAAAGGAGTCAACTTCCAGTTGACTCCTTTGGCATACTTTAACGGGGTTTTAATTACTGTTGGTTATTTTAACTTGGTATGATAGTACTTATTTGAATGTTTAAACTCGTTGCTTTCATTATTTAATTTTGCCTCTATTTATTGTAGTTTGTATACATTTTTATGGTTATGAGCGCTGAATGACCTGGCAGTCGAAGTGCTCCGTAAACGTGAAGTTTGAAATGGCAGAGGCGAAAAAGATTAGCAAACAGCAGGTGGTGTCAGGCTGAACCATTCAATTCCCCTTTCTCCCCCTCATTTCTCCAGCCCTTCGCCTCCTCTTCCCCTCACTTCCCCATCCCTTTCCTCTTATTTCTCCTTCCTTTTCACCTCACTTCCCCCTCACGACACTCATCCTGTGTGATCGAATATGACAGACGAATTGTAATAATGTTGGTAGAATTACCGACAATATGTAAAGTAAAAGGACACAAGTGCAACTAATGTGACATTAAAATGTCACATTAGTTGCACTTGTGTCCTTTTACTTTACATGACAGACGAATGTAAGTGGCATTTGTTAGTATGTAACTATACTATAAAGATAGCACACTGCTGATATATCCACTATGTAACTATCAATTAGATTATAATTTAGTACAACAGCACACTGTTGATGTACGCAAGTTCGATACGAGGAAAAGCGCAACTCAGTGACGGCACGGAGGGTATATTAAGGGAAAAGATAGAAGGCAGATAAATATAAGAATAAACGAGACATTTGTGCAACATTTGGGTATCTTTACTCAGGAAACGTTTCGCCAGCCAGTGGCTTCTTCGATCCAATGCAGAGAAACAGTGGAAGATGAGTAGTTTGAGGTAATCAGTCCCTTAGCCTGGAGTCAATGTGTGTTCAGTCTAGAAACTAAGAAAACTTAGTTTGAGGACTCGGAGGACTAGGAGAGACATGATTACGACTTACAATATTAACCTTGCCATAACAGAGTGAGCTCACTGACCTGCCTCGAGGACTGTGAACTGGCAGGGGTCAGCCTGAGTGCCCACGGTGTTGGTGGCCCAGCAAGAGAGAATCCCGTAGTCCCTGGATGACCTGTACAGAGGAAGCACATGGATGAAATGGTTATAATCATAATTTTTAAAGGGGGTGGACCGGTAAGCCAGTGGAAGGCCTCGGTCAGATGACCAAAAGTTCCAGTGGTAAGTCATCATATGACTAAGACCTGCGTCAGGAAACACTTGCCCTGTCTCCTGACAAACCTTAACTAGCCTAACCTAGGAGGCTCAGCTGAGTTTAAGAGTCGACGATCTGGTTAACAACATTAATCATGGCATGCATCAGCACTATCACTGTTTTGATACACAACTGAGGGGAAAAATTAAATTAGCTGAGCTGAATGGTTCATCAGGCAATTGTGTTTTTAATTGGGTAATTTATGGTAGACAAAAAAGTTTTGTACGAGTACAGGTAATTCACGTAACGTACTCAAACACTGTAATGTGACAATGGAAGCGTTTGTACATAACTTTTATATATGATGGATGAAAAAAAGTGGGATAGAGCAGTGTGTTGCAGAACAGCTTTGTAGGGTATTGTAGAGGTGTTGCAGGACAATATTTTGAAGAGCACTGTTTTGTAGAGCAGAGAGGTAGCTCTCTTCCGCAGAATATGCAGCTCTGAATTCCTTGAGGAAGAATGCAACACTATCAAAGACCTCTTCAAAACACTCAGGTTTCCTTGACACTTCATTCCCAAATGTAAAAATAAAAAATAAAGATCCCTCAAAATTTTCAACACACTCAACGTAAACAAAGACACATGGCTCATGTATCCCATAGTAAAACAGAGGACATCACAGGATCTTCAAGAAAGGTCGTAAAAATGTTGTCGTCGTCGCCTCCAATAAAATGATAAACGTCCTCAGGACGAGACGCACCAGTCAGAATGACAGCTACGCAGGGGTAAACACCAACCCATGCTGGGAAGTGAGAAAGTACATAAGCGATGGTGCTGGTACAGCGTAGCGGAATATGATGTAAACGGTTTAGAAAACCGGCAAATTGAAGAGCGAGACACTCGTGCAACATTTGGGAATCTTTATTACGGAAACGCTTCGCTAGAGTGGCTTCTTCAGTTTATTACAGGGAAGAACGGTGAAAGATGAAGAGGTGTTGTAAGCAATCAGTTCCTCAGCCTAGAGCCAATGTGTTCAGTCCATCCGTCATGAGAAAAGATTAGACTGAAAATATCAACTCCAGGCTGAGGGACGGATTACCTCTAACTCCTCAACTTCAACCATTCTCTTCTGTAATGGACTGAAGAAGCCACTCTCTAGAGAAACGTTTCCGTAATAAAGTTTCCCAAATGTTGAACAAATGTCTCGTTCTTCAACACCAGAGGTTCTATAATACACTGGATGGAGACCTCAAGAAGTGGTAGTGTTAATAATGCAAATATTGAACGTTGAGTAGTGAAGATGAGACCTCCCTTAAGCCTAGTACGAGGATCTAGGAACAAGACCTCCCTTAAGCCTAGTACGAGGATCTAGGAACAAGACCTCCCTTAAGCCTAGTACGAGGATCTAGGAACAAGACCTCCCTTAAGCCTAGTACGAGGATCTAGGAACAAGACCTCCCTTAAGCCTAGTACGAGGATCTAGGAACAAGACCTCCCTTAAGCCTAGTACGAGGATCTAGGAACAAGACCTCCCTTAAGCCTAGTACGAGGATCTAGGAACAAGACCTCCCTTAAGCCTAGTATGAGGATCTAGGAACAAGACCTCCCTTAAGCCTAGTACGAGGATCTAGGAACAAGACCTCCCTTAAGCCTAGTACGAGGATCTAGGAACAAGACCTCCCTTAAGCCTAGTACGAGGATCTAGGAACAAGACCTCCCTTAAGCCTAGTATGAGGATCTAGGAACAAGACCTCCCTTAAGCCTAGTACGAGGATCTAGGAACAAGACCTCCTTTAAGCCTAGTACGAGGATCTAGGAACAAGACCTCCCTTAAGCCTAGTACGAGGATCTAGGAACAAGACCTCCCTTAAGCCTAGTACGAGGATCTAGGAACAAGACCTCCCTTAAGCCTAGTACGAGGATCTAGGAACAAGACCTCCCTTAAGCCTAGTACGAGGATCTAGGAACAAGACCTCCCTTAAGCCTAGTACGAGGATCTAGGAACAAGACCTCCCTTAAGCCTAGTACGAGGATCTAGGAACAAGACCTCCCTTAAGCCTAGTACGAGGATCTAGGAACAAGACCTCCTTAAGCCTAGTACGAGGATCTAGGAACAAGACCTCCCTTAAGCCTAGTACGAGGATCTAGGAACAAGACCTCCCTTAAGCCTAGTACGAGGATCTAGGAACAAGACCTCCCTTAAGCCTAGTACGAGGATCTAGGAACAAGACCTCCCTTAAGCCTAGTACGAGGATCTAGGAACAAGACCTCCCTTAAGCCTAGTACGAGGATCTAGGAACAAGACCTCCCTTAAGCCTAGTACGAGGATCTAGGAACAAGACCTCCCTTAAGCCTAGTACGAGGATCTAGGAACAAGACCTCCCTTAAGCCTAGTACGAGGATCTAGGAACAAGACCTCCCTTAAGCCTAGTACGAGGATCTAGGAACAAGACCTCCCTTAAGCCTAGTACTAGGATCCAGAAACAAGGAGACCTCTTAAGCCTACTACTAGACTCTAAGGACAAGGAGACTTCCTTTAACCCTAGTACTAGGATCTAGGTACAATGAGACCTCTTTTAATCCTAGTACTAGGATCCAGGAACATCACTATACTTGTAAGACAATACCAATAGCTCGTGCCATGTTCAGAGAGAGAAATATGTACACTTAATGTTGTGGAAACGCCAAACTTGACTTTCCAAGAAATGGATAGAACTCTCAGGTGGTGTTTTGAGGCGGCACAAATCAGCGCCCAAGACACCAACGTACAGAAAGTTAAACCCATGGGTCATCCAGCGCAAGACGTGGAGGCTCGATCCTCCATCTCCTGAACGCGAGACTCGCCTCCTGTTTGTACTGGCTTATATATTACCAACGAATAGAAGGGCCCTTCAGTTTAGTTACGCAACTGGCATCCTTCATGCGACAGAATCAGGCTAGTACATGATGTACTAGCCTGGGTACGTGATGTACTAACCTAGGTACATTATGTACTAACCTAGGTACATTATGTACTAGCCAGCCCGACCACACGCTACGCTAGCCCGACTACACGGTACACTAGCCCAGCTATACTCTATACTAGCCTTTAGGTCTCTTACGTAACTGCTAACTGCAACACGTCCCACTTTTCATTACACTCCAGTGGTCTCCCAGCATCGTCGAGGCAAAGATCATACCTGCACACTTCACCTTCCAGATGTATAGGAGGAGGTATAAGGGAAGAAAATGTGAGGCTGGTTACAGTTAATAGATGTAGGTTCAGGGCGTAGGTAAAGTAGCAGGTACAGCAGTTGAACCGGATACAGCAGGTGTAGAGGTCGGTACAGCAGGTGCATGGTAGGGATACAACAAGTGTGGGAGTAGAATACAGTTGTGGTGTGGGGTGCAGCAAAGTACGAGGCTGAATGCAGAACTTATGAGGTCAGATAAAACAAGTGAAAGGCGAGATAGCTGTTGTGGGTGCTTGATACAGCAGGAAAGGGGGCTGGATATAAGTGGTGGGTTGTATACAACAGGCATGGAACAGGTAACAACAGGTATGGAACAGGTTACAACAGGTATGATGGTCGAGACACTGTACCTCGGGGTGTAATCGAGGAAGCTGAGGCCAGGGCGGACCTGGATGCGGTGTCTCTCGACCTCCACGGTGTCGAGGGTGTTGTTGAAGTACCAGGTGAAGCGGAGGTCGTCCTCGGGTTTGGCGTCTACCCTACAGGCGAGTCGTACGTCCTCCCCCTCCGCCACGGTCACTGTTTGAGGACCACCTACGCACACCGGTAGGTCTGTAAGAAGAGATAATGGTGGGTCCGTGGGAAAGAGTGGTGCTCCCAAACATGGGCGTTAACACGTAGTATGCCCGCTGAGAGTGCACGTAACAAAGGATACATGATCTCTCACCTCCGCGTGATTTGGTGGGTAATACAGTGTATAATACCGACCTACGTGGGAAATGGTACACTGAAAGAATTATTGTGTTGTCTTTGTATAAAGAAAACTTGCATTATGAACTCCAGACACACGCAAACGCACACAGGCAAACATATGCATACAATCCCCACAAAAACAGCCACAAAAACACCTCATGTACAAACACACATGAACTCTCTGACACACACAGGATATTGCTACAGACTGGGTACAGTACCACACAGACTGTTATTATATCTTAATCCACTACAGACTAAATGGTATAAGAATCATCTGGCGCGACTGAAATCACAAGTAGCTTGATACAGGATCCTGAGACAGCGTGTTTAAGGAGTAAGGGAACAGTGTAAACCTGAACGAGGACAGAAGAGAAATGGAGAGGAAGAAAGTTGAAGGATCGTATAAAAAGTCATCAGTTACAGGAAAGAAAAGAAGAGGGGAAAGAGAGAACACAGCCTCTAGAAATCTTTCAAGGTACACCCCATTTGTCCTGCACTCGGAAGATCTAGTTCGAGGCCCACCCCTCACATGCTCCCCTACCCATAAATAATAACCCTATATTCCCCTGTCCCCTATCCACAACTATAACCTTGACCCCCTTCCCTTGTAATAATGTATACACCAACCACAGCCTCGCCTCTCCCCTCCATACAAATAAGCATTAATAAGAAAGCCAGAACACCACAAATCATAGTATAGTAAAAGAGAGCACGGTGAGAACATGATGCACCACTGCAGATGAACCATTAACAAAGTGTGATGAACTAAGATAAATAAAAGAGCAGCAATATCAGACGTTGCCATCACAGAGATAAAACTGAAATAAGACACTACATCCCCAGCAGTATATAAAGTAACGAGGAAAAAGCAACCAAATGAACGGGTGAGCTGCATTGGTTAACCAGGAAAAAAAGAGGAACCAAATGAACGGGTGAGCTGCATTGCTTAACCAGGAAAAAAAGAGGAACCAAATGAACGGGTGAGCTGCATTGCTTAACCAGGAAAGGAAGAGGAACCAAATAATAGGGGTGAGCTGCAAAGCTAATCAGAGAACCAGTGGAATTTTGAAGACACGAGAAGAATATAGAGAAAGAAGTCGAACGACAAAGCAGAGAAACAGTATCAGCGATCTGCAACCCACCACCAAATAGCAATAGACCAAGCTAGTTGTGGAAAATAATGTATTTTCCGAAAAAAATCGAGCGTATTTTTTATGAAAATTAGTGTAATACATTGTATTTAATAAAAATTAATTTGTAAACGAAAAATGGAACCAGCGACGGGGAGAAGCGTTGTTGGAACCAGAGTCGCCGTTGTTTTTGAATGTGATACAAGCATGCTAGTGTAATGTGCACAATTTTCGTAGCTCTAGGGGTTATATTGGGCTTAAAACTTCTCAAATAGGAGCAGAAATTGTTGGATGTGCAGTCCTGCATAACTTGAACATTAAGCAGATGGACAGGACAGCTTCAGGAACATCAGATAAGATGTCTATGTTTATAGTTCTGGCCAGTAATTTTTTCATAAATGTAGACATGGGGGGGGGGGTTGAGTATGATACACAGTAATCTCCAGACAAATTGGTGAGTGTTATGATTATAAATTCTCCTTCTGTTATATAAATGTGTATATGTAATCATTTATTAATTTTAACATACAGTCCACAAATTTATAATAATGTTTACCAGAATTCCTGGTGATGTATATTTCATTTGCAATTAATTTAGGTCTAGAGCAACTTGTGGAGAGATAGATTATGGAAGGTATCGAAGGGGGACATTTTTTGCGACCTAGGTGTCCTAAAATTCCTACTTGTCTCTGTAACTTTGATAAAAAATAATTATCTTTGTTACCATTTACTGGTATGTATCTAATGAGATTCATCCAGGTAAATTTAATTTTCCACACTAGTGATACGAAGACAGCTGGAAGTATTTCACTCGCTTAGCGATATGAGAAAAGCATCCCCATTATCAACAAGTCCGCTCGCTTCTTACCTCAATACACGCATAAGGAATAGTGGAAAGCGGAGATAAAATTTTGTTACGCAAAATATAAAATATATATATGAATGCATGTATATATAAACGCTTTTACATATGCAGGCATATGCACGTTTGTGTACATATGTATTTATAAATGTATACTTTTTTATATGTATGCATGTATGTAGTGTATATATGTGCATATGCATTAGTGTATCTTTTCTTGGGTAACTCTGTAATTTCTGTGTATATATGAATATATATATAAATATATATATAAATATATATATAAATATATATATAAATATATATATATATATATATATATATATATATATATATATATATATATATATATATATATATATATATATATATATAATATATAAAAACAAACAAGAGCAATTTAATTTAGCCTAATCCAACTAAATATATTTTAGATAAGTTTATAATAATTTAATAACAAAAACATTGAAATATTTTTTTTCGTTAGGTTCAGAATGATTTTTGCGGAATTACTGCATACACAAATTTTCGCTTTCCTTATTCGGCAAGAAGAATGTTGCTATTAAAGCCATAATAGCAAGTTTTACCTACGTATATGGCACATATATAAATGAATTTGTATGTGAACATATGTATTCTTATGGTTATACATGTGTGCATATGTGTATAAACTCTGTGCACCCATACCTGCCCACTGTCTACACCTCTTATTTAAAAGTGCCCACACCTGTTACTTAAAAGTGTCTACACCTGTTATTTAAAAGTGTCAGTGCCTACACCTGTTATTTAAAACACAGACAGTGCCTACACCTGTTACTTAAAACACTGACAGTGCCTACACCTGTTATTTAAAACACTGACAGTGCCTACACCTGTTATTTAAAACACAGACAGTGCCTACACCTGTTATTTAAAATACTGACAGTGCCTACACCTGTTATTTAAAACACTAACAGTGCCTACACCTGTTATTTAAAACACTGACAGTGCCTACACCTGTTATTTAAAACAGTGACAGTGTCTTCACCTGTTATTTAAAGCAGTGAGTGTCTACACCTGTTATTTAAAGCAGTGACAGTGTCTACACCTGTTATTTGAAGCAGTGATTGGTGTCTGCTTCTGTTAATAACTGTTCTTCAAAACAGTGAACAATGTTTACACCTGTTCTAGTTAATATTTACACCTGTTCTAGTTAATGTTTACATCTGTTCTAGTTAATATTTACACCTGTTCTAGTTAATATTTACCTGTTCTAGTTAATATTTACACCTGTTCTAGTTAATATTTACACCTGTTCTAGTTAATATTTACACCTGTTCTAGTTAATATTTACACCTGTTCTAGTTAATATTTACACCTGTTCTAGTTAATATTTACACCTGTTCTAGTTATTTACACCTGTTCTAGTTAATATTTACACCTGTTCTAGTTAATATTTACACCTGTTCTAGTTAATATTTACACCTGTTCTAGTTAATGTTTACACCTGTTACAGCTAATAAAAACCCCTGTTTTAGTTATTTACACCTGTATGTTTGCAACTGTTCCTTACTGCATCTGCAAGGCAGTGATTAATATATACATTTGTTCCAATTGCACCTGTTCTAGAGCGATTGTTATTTACACCTGTTCAAGATAGGGATTGTTTACACCTGTTTGTTGACACTTGCTCTGCTGTTAGAATTTTTTACACTTGTTCTAGTGATTAGTGTTCACATCCGTTCTTCAAGGGAGTGATTACTGTTCGCCTGTTCAAAATTACGTTACATCAAGTGTTCTTATCTTAGTGAAGGAAAGTGACCTTTTGGGTATAACGGGGTGTTAAGTGGTCAGCGTCGGCAAGTGTTAAGTGGTCAGCGTCGGCAAGTGTTCAGTGTTCAGTGGTCAGTCGTCACGTGAGGTCACAGACCCTGAGCTGCTTTGGGGATTAGTGTGGACGGTTACAAAGCATGGCTTGCTTCTGCAGTGTTTTAAAAACTGAGGTTGGAGAGTTGAAGGAGGAGGTCTTGCTTCTCCAGGAGGAGATTAGGAGGCTGAAGGTCCACCTCAATGGGCCTGGGAGAGAGTGTGAGGTGGTTGGAGATGTGGGGAATGAGGCTTCTAGCAGTGAGGTGCAGTCTGTCTCTCACTGTGAGGAGGCTGTAGGTGGGGAGGTAGCAACGGCTACCAGCAGTGAGGTGCAGCCCAGCACCTGCTACAAGTGGCGAGTTGTTCACAGTAATGGGAGGCGCATCAGAGTAAGGAAAGTTAAGAGTGAAGATCTGAAGGTAGGAAATCGCTTCTCTGTTCTCCAGGATGAATGTACTTCAGTGGCCAGTGAAGGTAAGGGTACTACTGCCCCTGCTAATGAAGGTAAGCGCATTCTTGTGGTTGGTGACTCTCAGGTAAGATATGTTTGACCGCGCTTTTTGTAATAGGAATAAGAAGATGAGAGATAGAGTGTGCTTCCCTGGAGCTGGTGTTGGGGACATTGTCAACAGACTGGATAATATCATGTCAGGTAATGGGAACAAGCCCATTATCTGTCTCAGTGCTGTGGAAATGATATTGGGAAGGGTAGGAGAGAAGAGCTGCTAGTTAAGTACAGGTCAGCTATAGATTTCATTAAGTCTAAGGGAGGGATCCCAATCATATGTAGCATCTTGCCTAGAAGGGGAGTAGGAAATGAATGGTTGTCTAGGGCAATTGGTGTAAATTGCTGGCTAGACAGATACTGCAAGGAACTTGCAATCCCATTCATTGACAACTGGAACAACTTTTATGGCAAACATGATATGTATGCAAGGATGGGGTTCATCTCTCTGGGCAGGGGTGGTAGCACTTGCAGACTCGATTGAGAAGGCCATTGGTGAAATGCCTATGAT